TTATGGAGGGTAAAAAGAAAAAAAACTCAGTCACAAATATCAAAGGATTATCAGTCACTTACTTAATAGTATGTGAATTAATTGACTGGAACGGTAGATGATAGCAGTTATGCGTTTTGAAAAGTTTGTTACTCAGTGGACTAGATCTAGGGGTGGGTCGTTACAGATTTTTAGTATACCTGTTCCATTCCCCAATCGGAACTGTTCCAAATTATCGATACCGTTCCTAAGCAAGTAATCTAAAAAAAAATTATTTAAAATTAAAGAAAAGAAACCTAAAAGTAACGTTGTAAAGAAAACTAATTACAAGGATAAATGGGTACACTTCATTTATAGGTTTAGTATATAGTTTAATTAGGGCATCGAGATCTTCTTTGTAAGTGGGAGATTCCGATATTGTTTCATAGATTTTAAATTATATTATATTAACCAAGAGATTAAACTTATCATCTTCAGCAGCTTTTATTCCCGTAATGAAATCCTCAAATATTGTTTTCCAGTGATTCCATTGAAGGTATGATGGAGTTTCGTTAGGATCCCTTGAGAGACGTTCGGGTTTGAAGTAATTCTCCATATCGGTTATATTTCACTCAACAACACACTAACTTCGAAATCGTTAAGTTAAATAAATTGTAGGGAGATTTAAAGAAACTTCTTCTTCTTTTTCTTCCTCACAATGCCATTTCTAGCGTCGAGGAGCCTCTATCCAACGCAGCCACCCTTCCCGGTCTCTGCTTAACCGCCTCATTTGGTTGAATGGTTTACCTCTTCTATCTCCGATCCTCTCCATGAACTCCTGATATAAAACTCTGGGACGCCCTCGTGGCCTCAATTTAAAGAAACCTGACCTGTAAAATAGCCTTTATTCATCTTAACGATTATAGCTAAGTATAATATATATCATAGCCAATGATATAATTTTTTCAAAGAGGAGTTCATTTCCACCATATTTCAAACATTCTGGGGCGATACCATCCCTTCCTGGTGCCTTTCCTGCTTTTAGAGTCTGGATTGCGTCTTCTATTTCTTCTTCTTCTATTACCTCTAGGCTTTCTAGAGTAGAGTACTCTAGTTCTTGGCAGTGATGTATTGCTGGATTTTCAGAGAATTGTTCCTGAAAATGTTGTTTCCATCTGTTCAGGATCTATTCCTTGTCGGTAAGCAGGGATCCATCGCTATCATTTACATTTCTGACGGGCTTGTTTTTCTTTCCTCTTAAGAATTTAATTTTTCGACAAAAATTCTTATGGATTCACGATGGTCTTCACTCAGTTTTTTACCAAAAATAAAATGAGAAAATAAAATAGTCTTTATTCATCTTAACGATTATAGCTAAGTATAATATATATCATAGCCAATGATATAATTTTTTTAATAAATTTTTTTTGTTAAAACAATTGACTTTACTGGTGTTTTTCATAGCCTAAGCCAAGTATTTTTTAATAATTCTTCATGTTTTATTATTCTATGACTATTCAGTTTTAATAAAAGACCAACTATGAAGAAATTAAGCCAGATGCTGATTCTCAGTGACCAAAAAACTAACTAAAGTCAAAGTCGTCAATCCGCCATCTTTGGACGCCATTTTAGGGCAGTGTGTTCACTTTTTTTTGTGGGAACATTGGCTTTTTTTTTAATAAATAGTTACAAGGAACACAACGATATGTAATTTATAGGGATGTGTTGGGGGAGGGGGAGGGTGCACGGTAAGGGGGTCTGGTCCACCGTGTATAACGCAATCTTCCCACCTTCTCTTTGGTCTACCCTTCGGACGTTTGCCAGTCGGTACAGCGTATATTAAGTTTTTAAGAATTCTTTCGTTACTAAGGCTAGCGATTTTACATGCCTATTTTATTCATTACATGTAAACCATCTCAATTATATTAACCGGATACAGTTCACACAATTCAGCGCTGTGTGACCACCTAAATTCTCCGATTGACTCGTCCCTTTTCGGTCCGAATATTCTGTAAAATTCTTTATTTTCAAAAACTTTCGAACTCTTTAAAAAAAAATAATAATAAGACGATTCTCATCCCTTAAAGTAAGCGGGCACGTTTTATATCCATAAAGAACCGAAGGGAGGATAATGGTTTTGTAAATTTTAATTTCTCAGTTTCGAAACAGGAGGCGAGAACTAAGTAGTTTTGAAAGAAAAATTACAAGCATTTCCCGCCTTCAACCTAATATCCTCTACAATTTCATTTTTGTCTTGCTACCGTAGACCCTAGATACCTAAAATTCTGTACGTGCTCAAACACATTCCCCTCTACATCGGTATCATTGGTAGCATTTACTAAGATCCAAGCAGACCTAGATCGAATCTGTGCTTGGGCAAACTTAAACGGATTAAGGCTAAATGCTTCAAAAACTCAGGCCATTGTCATTGGTTCCAAGCACGGGCGGATCTACGGGGGAGGGGCTTTCGGGCTGAAGCCCCCCCCCAAAATGGTAAAACATGACCATGTTTTATAGAAAAGAAAAGCTTAAAAATACCTCTTAAAGTCTTATTGTTCGTGTAATTACATTTAAAAGAACTTAATGAATCACTTAAACACCATAGGTAGTTAGTTTCTTTCTGTTTTTCCAAAGTAATTATCGTAATTTTCATAAAAAAAAAGCTTCCGGGCTGAAGCCCCCCCCCCAAATTAAATCCTGGATCCGCTAGTGGTTCCAAGCCCCTCCTTAGATCCTATACCGACTTTCCCATACTAAACCTTGGTGACCAGCCAATCTCCTTCTACTCTTCTGTAAAAAATTTAGGACTATTTATTGATCAAACCCTCTCCTGGAGTCACCATATTTCTCACATCTCCCGACGGATAGTTTCTACCCTCAAACTATTCCATCGCTTCCGCCATCTCCTACCTCAACATACGCGTAGACTCCTCGTTTCCTCTCTCATCTTCCCCCACTTTGACTACTGCTGTGTGGTGTATGATGGACTCTCGGTGGAGCTCCGCGACAGACTGAAAAGATTAATGAACAGTTGCGTGAGATTTGTAATTGGTGCCCCGAGATACTAACATGTCTCTCACCACTACACTGAGTTAGAGTGTCTCTTCCCCTCCATTCGAAGACAATATTTCCTAGGTACATTCCTCTATCATATCATCAACAATCATCGTCCTTCCTACGCCTACAACCTTCTCCAATTCAAGTCCTCAGTCCACTCCCTCTCCACAAGATCTCGACCTTCCGACCTTTACATTCCTTCTCACAGATCTGCCTCGTTCCAAAACCATTATAATATTACCATATTAAATCATCAGCACACCCAAGCACGGATATTGTTCCACACAGGTTCAAATCTTTTTCGGTACGTATCACCTCTCTAGTGGCATGTTTTAATGCCAAATTAAATAGGACAGGTGAAGGAGAATCACCTTGTTTTAAACCCGAACGAATCATAAATTACTCGAATAAGTAATAACCGATTTTAACTTTAATGAGTGTTTCCGTCAAGCACATCCTAACTAGATTCACTATTTTTTTGTTGGCATCCCCTTATCGATTAGAATATTATTCAGCTTCTGGCGATCAATGGAATCATAAGCCTTTTTGAAATCGATATAAAGCTGGTGAACAACAACATTGTACTCTACTTTTTTCTCTAATATTGTTGTAAAGAAAATATTTGATCGATAGTCGAACGGTTCCGCCTAAATCCGCATTCATAGTCCCCGATAATTTCCTCGGCGTATTCCGTGATTTGATTAGTTAAAATTAATGAGAATATTTTATAATGTACCGGAAGGAGTGAAGTTCTTCGATAGTTATTATAATCCGCCCTCAATCCCTTTCTGTGAATAATAATAGTAATAAATAAAAAACATTTATTCCTGACTAAGTACTGAATACACTTCATGGGTTGTAGCAGCATTTGTTTGTATATTTTTATTCGATATTTTACCATCTATTTTTCTTGAAGATTTTGAAAAAAAAAAAGGCAATGCTAGATGGATACTGTTTACCGAACAGAATATGACGGACAAAATTGAAAAAAAAAATACAGTTATTATTGATCAAATGTAAATTATAGTGTGCGCTCCTCAAACTGTTATAAGTTACGCTGGTAGAACGGGTTGTCTACAGACCTAAAGTCTGTACTTGGTGTCAGAAACTGTAAAGGTACGTTTAGAAATTTCACGAACTATGTGAGAAAACAAATATTTAAATACTTTTCTAAATATGTTAGTGTTTTTGTTTCTTGCGTTTTATGTTTTCCATCTGCTGTCGGTGACAAGAGAAATATATTTAAAAAAAAAAACGCCTATCGCCAATGTCCCTGTTAGTTAAGTTAGATAATTGTGTTTCCCATAGTTTGTAAAATGTCTAAGCGCACCTTAAGATAGCAGCAAAACATAGAAAAGAATGGCGATGTAAAGGAGCGTTTAGACATTTCACAATGGAAAAACACTATGGAAAACATAATTGTCGTACTTAACTAACAGCGACGTAGTTGCTAAATCTAACTATTTATTTTATTTCTCTCAATACCGACAGCTGATGGAAATATCAAAAACAAGAAACAAAAATAATAGCATAGTGAATTAACCATTTATATATTTGTTTGTTCGTTATTTTTGGGCATATAAATGCACCTTCAGATAACTCAGAATTAGAGTGCCCCTGATGGTTGAACGTATAGAGGATTCTCTAATTATCTATAACATTAAGATTCTCCTATCTAGTAGAATAGGTTCCAACCGTCCTTGGCAATTTGTAATTTATTTCGTGGTAGACCCACCAAAAGAATCTCGACCAAACGGTTTTACCTCTAGAACAATCCCTCACAACCCATCTCGTACTCCTGAAATGGCGAGGTAGGGGATAATAAATAAATTAAAAAAGCAGCTTTCGTTTATTAAACTACTGGGATGTACCATCAACTGGCTAGCAAATGGAATTTTTATAAACAAAATATGTACTGTGCAGTTTTAAAACCTACCTCATGTCTAGTCGAATATAGTCACTAACCTGCTAGATCCTGAAAATGGCAGAGAACGATCGTTAGTGATTGCTTCCGTGTTTGTGATTACTCTTTGTCAAAATCCGTTCAACTGTCAGGTTAATGTAGTGAGGTTTCGGTTTTTGTTTTCTTTGTGATAGTTGGATGAAGTTTAGGATTCCATAAATAAACAACGATAAAAAATGCTACACGAACTTATCTACTATCACAAAGCAGTAATTAAATTGAATTATAAATATAGAATATTTTAAGGTAATAAGATTTTTATTTTATTCAACACCAATCATTGACATGTTATATATTCAATCATACCACATTGATAAATATTCTATTTTTTGCCAATTTGAGGAACAGTTAGTGATATTAAAATGTATTATTTTGAAATGTAAAATACTCGCTGTATGTTGTTTTGCTTTTTTGTTCATCAATTGATATTTTGGTTTATTTGTGTTTTAGGATTTCATTCTTTAAATCATTTTTTATGTTAGGGAGCAGCTTATATGTTGTCAGTATAAATTTGGTTGAAATATTTTCTTTAAAGCCTGTTGAGACTTTTTTCATGAAGTTCATTAGCATATGTTATAGTGAAAATGAAAGTTAACTATTATCTTTATTTTTTTATTGTTAAATTTATTTATCATTAGTTTTATTGTATTGTGATTAATTGAAATATGTTAGCATTTGTCTGGTTTTTGTGAGTAATATATTTCATGTAATTTAGAATGTTTTTTGTGTGTTTAATTTTTTCCAGTTTATGAATTGTAAATCAATATTGTTATCCACAATTATTAAAAGAACAATTAATGATTGGTTTTCTTGCTTCAAATTTCCAACTTTAGTTTGTTTGAAATTTATACTGATTAGTTTTATTAGTGTTGCATTTGAATTATTTATTTGTATTAATTGCTATAGTCAGTGATTATTCGGTCAGATATCAAAGTTTGCCTATTGTTCTTGAATTGTCATTCTTCTGACCAGTTTGTAAGTATCATTTTCAAACTCTAATTTTGTGATTTCTGGCAATAACTGTTAAGTTTTAGTGTTTCAATAACATTAATTTGATAGAAATGTAACTAAATCTCTGAACTTATGTTGAAGGGCCAAAAACTTAACCCATTACCATTTGCAGGAATATGATGTTTTGTCATGACTTCTTGTAATACGCCAGAGGCATAAATAAAATTTCAGACACTATGATTAAAACTGGGCAATTTATAAATATGTATAATGTAATATATCTTATCGTCGATTAGACCCCCATTTAGATGTAGCAAGTGTATAAACATGCAGCTGTCTTTTATAGTAGATAGATTGTGAAAAATTAATATATACGTACTGACAATCCTAGGACAGTATTTACTCTCAATAATTTTTCTTAGACATCACTGCACTGGTGCAAATTATATATTTAGAAGTACGAAACTCTCGGATATCTTTAAGATAAAGATTACTTCTACCAATTATCTAAGGAAACAAAACCTTACTAAATTGTATTATGACACTAATACAAAATCCCAAGGATTGATTAAATAAAGAAATACAACTATAACTAAAAAAAAAGAATTATTATTTAAAGAGGTTAAGCTCATTTTAAACATGAATAATAGGAAGAAAAACAAATATTAAATATAATAACTTATATTATATAATATAAAATAATATAAGGTATCTTCTTAAGACTTTATTTCTTGCTCCAAGAGCCTCTTCTGATAAAGTATATGTTGGCAAAGTTTCTGACCTAATAACTTCTTGTTTCCAAAACCAGGTAAACCTGTTAATAACACATCATCCTATAGACCGATAAGCTTACTCCCGATCCTCTCAAAAATCTTTGAGAAAATCCTTCTCAAACGCATCCTACCCATAATCGAATCCCACAACATCCCTTCTCATCAGTTTGGATTCCGCTCAAGACATTCCACTGTCCAACAGGGCCTTCGTGTTGTGGACCATATATCCTCTGCACTTGAAAACAAGCATTATTGCACTGGTGCCTCTCTGGACGTAGCACAAGCTTTCGACCGGGTGTGGCATGATGGCTTGCTTTTCAAGCTCAAAACCCATTTACCCCAATCCTTATACCTAGTCCTCAAATCCTACCTCTCAAATCGTTCCTTTCAAGTCCGTTGTGACACCGCATTCTCCACTTACTATCCAGTTGAGGCTGGTGTTCCACAAGGCAGTGTTTTGGGCCCAGTTCTCTATATCCTCTTCACTTCCGATATCCCTTCAAATCCTGATACATTTCTAGCTACATTTGCTGATGATACTGCCATTCTATCTTCCCACTCAGATCCTCAAATAGCATCTCTAAACCTACAATCTCACCTCTCTTTGATTGAGCAGTGGTGCAACAACTGGCGCATCAAAATCAATGAATCAAAATGCAAACATATCACTTTTACCCTGCGACGCAGATCCTGTCCGTCAATCCTTTTTAATTCAATTCCACTTCCCTACTCAGACACAGTCCGTTACCTTGGCTTCCTTCTTGACAAAAGACTAACTTGGAACCCACATACAAGACTTAAAAGACAAGAACTTAACCGACGATATGGCCAGCTGTATAGATTACTAAGTAGGACATCCCATCTTTCGATTGAAAATAAACTTTTAATCTACAAGACCATACTGAAACCTATCTGGACCTACGGACTTGAACTGTGGGGAACTGCTAAACATTCGAATATCAAACGCATCCAATCCTTCCAGTCCAAAGTACTTAGAACAATAGTCAATGCCCCATATTATGTCACAAACAAGACCCTACACCATGACCTTAACATCCCATTTGTCCTCGACATCATCCCAACCAGATTCTCAAACTTTCACCAAAACCTTATCCATCATCCAAATCCTCTAGCTCAATCCCTATCCAGCTCCCTTCATCCCTACAATCCTCCACGAAGGTTAAAACGGCAGTGGCCCAGAGATCTCTTGTAAATATGCTTCTGGAGTCCTGGCAATGGCCAGCTTCTCCACTCATGTCCCGAGCGTCTGTGGCTCTAGTGCCCTCTTTCAGTCTCCATTGGCTTCTAATACTAGTGATGCGGCTGGAAAAGTGGCACTGGGATCTCCTGGAGTCTTGCTTTGCCTTCCACATGTGGGGGAAAAAGCCTGGCTCGGAGATTCTTGGGCGAATGTATATATTGTATATAGGTATGATTGTGTTTATAAGTTTCTTTTTATGTTATTGTTTATTTATTTTTTTTCTTTTATTTTCTTTCTTCATCAGTATTATTTATTTACTTTTTATATTTATATTTATTTCTCTATTATTTGTATATATTGTTTGAATGAGAACTCTTAGCCCTAATACTTATAGCCCTCCAGTGGCTGATTGTATTATTATTCAATAAATAGATAAAAAAAAAAAACTTCTGGTCCATAAATTATCTAAATTGTATGAAAAACTAGGGATACAATTTTACAAATAACTTTGCAGTGTCTATAGAATATTTATTGAAAGCAACAGGATATCTACTAGACAATTTTTCAGCATTGTAGAAAACATTTGATAGCAATTAGTCGAGTGAATAATACTCTGTCAGACAAACAATTTAAATTGAGTAGAATTATTTTTTAATTCTGTGTCCAACCAAGATTGTTCTGATTTTAGAAACATTTTAAAGTTTCAGATATGTTTAATCCGTTTTTGGTTTACTTTGGTTATCTTCTCTGAATGTCAATAATTGTGGACGCAAAATAAGCACAGTAAATGTAGCCACAAAGGGTTCCAAAAAAATTGGATAAAAATGGATATTTGGTATCACTTATTTTTTTAACTTGTATATATAACTTGTATTTAGACATGTAAAAATCGAAATTGCTAATGCGGGCTACCAAGGGAAAACTTTTTACAGCAGAAAAAGTAAAATTATTTTGATATTTTTTTGTTTTTTCACCTATAACTCTTAAACGATGCATCAAATCCAAAAATGTTCTCTTTTTTATATTAAAGAACATTAAATTGAGCGTCGAATGAGTACTTAAAGTTAGTAATTTGGTTATGTGGTAAGGTATAAAAATACGGCAAACCATTGCTAATTTTTATCAAATTTGTCAAAAACTGAGGCAAATTACTATAAATGGCCTTGTAACTTGGAAACGAGTTCCCTAAGAAGAAAACCCCATAAAAGTTGTAGAGAATCAAATTTTGTGTCCACTGAGTAGTGTCATTTTTATCGTTGTCCAATTATATATCTCGAATCGGTATTCATTATTTCTTTATGAAGTTCGGTATTTTTCAACACATTGTTTATCAAATTCCTTTGCTGCTAAAAAGCAGTAGTTATACTGCATGTAACAGACTCCAAACGAAAATAACTCAGTAGAATAGACACCCATATTGTTGAAATATTGAAAATCACGTATACTTTCATTACCAATTTCTAACCATTGGGATTGGTGGAGATTTCGTTCAGAGTAAGTGACCTACATTAAATTAGTTGGTACTCTCTAGTCACAAAATTTGATGTTCTACAACTTTGGTTCTATGGATTTTTCCTTTTAAGAAACTCATTTCCAAGTTGCAGGCCCATTTATAGTAATTTGTCTCGGTTTTTCACAAATTTGATAAAAATCAACATTGGTTGACTGTGGTTTTATACCTTACCACTTATACAAAGTATTAAGTTTATGTACTCGTTCAATGCACAATTTAATATTCTTCAATCTATTAAAGATAACATTTTTCGATCTGATGCATCGTTTAAGAGTTATATGTGAAAAAACAAAAAAATATTGAAAAAATCTTACTTTTTTGCTGTAAAAAGTGGATTTCCCGTTACTGGCCTATCCTTTTAAATTAGTCACCATTTTTGAAAGCAGTGTCTCTGGAATGGAAGACAAATATTCCACCCACTTGATTTTTTCATGTTTTCATCTAAAAATATTTCTGCTTTGGATTGGTCTATTGTTTTTAATGAATAAATTGGTAATCTTTTTGTTTGTTTTCAATTAGGAATGTTAATATAGAGGACAATAACCCTTAATCCTTAATTCAATGAAATGATTCTAGATTCCAATGTTTCCAAGATTCCAAAACGAACAATTATTATTCTAAAAGAAATTAATTACATCATCGTTTAGTAGCGCGTGTTTCCTCCTCTTGCCTTCACTACTTCTTGAAGACGCCTCGGCATACTTTCCACCATTCGGGAAATGTCCCTTTGCTGGAGGATAGCCCATTCCTCCCGAAGAGCCCTTTCAAGGTCCTGCAGTGTATCAGGAAGTGTTGCACGCGCTCTTATTCGTCTTCCGAGGTTATCCCATAAATGCTCAATGGGGTTCAAATCTGGAGAACGTGCTGGCCAGGCTAAAACCTCAATATTGTTCTGTTGAAGGAACGTCTGCACTATGCGGGCGACATGTGGGCGTGCATTAGAATAGAACGATCGCCGATTTCGTTGAGGATAGGCAACACATGAGGTTCCAAAATCTCATCTACATAGCGAATGGCCGTCAAAGACCCTCCACGAACAACAACCGCTTCTGTGCGGCTCTCCATTGAAATCCCAGCCCACACCATTAAGGAACCACGTTGGAAAGGTTGGCTCTGGGAAAAATTACAGGCTGCATATCTTTCGTTTCTTCTTCTCCACACCCTTTCACGCCCGTCTGGAGATCGAAGAGCGAATTTTGACTCATCTGTAAAAAGTACAGCACTCCATTCGTCCATAGTCCAATGGCTGTGTTCTCGAGCAAAAGCCAGCCGTGTTACTCTGTGAGTTCTGGTCAACTCTGGTCCTCTTACTGGACGAAAAGCCATTAATCCATACTCATTTAATCTTCTCCGAGCGGTACGTTCAGAAATTTGCACACCTCGAACTTCTTCGAGCTGATGAATCGCTTGAACAACGGTAAGGTGCCGGTTTCGTAAAATTCTCAAAGTCAAAAACCGGTCATCCCGTGGTTCTGTTACCCTAGGCCGTCCAGAACCGGGCCTTCTATTGTAAGAACCAGTTTCCCGAAAACGCCTGACGGCATCTCGTAAAGTTTCATATGGAACTCCGATGGCATTAGCTGCATATCTAATGGAACGTCCATCATCAATAAGTGCCACACCACGCGCAACATCCTCAGCACTAAGAGGCATTTTTAAACTTAATATTGAAAAAATTAAAAGCCGGAGACTAAGAAATGTGCTGCAAGAAACGGCACTGAACTAATGATACTGAATAAACATTTTGATTCCATAGAAAGTAAACATTGGAATCTAGAATCATTTCATTGAATTAAGGATTAAGGGTTATTGTCCTCTATATTAACATTCCTAATTGAAAACAAACAAAAAGATTACCTATTTATTCATTAAAAACAATAGACCAATCCAAAGCAGAAATATTTTTAGATGAAAACATGAAAAAATCAAGTGGGTGGAATTTTTTGCCTGTCAGTGTATAATCTATTACTATAGTATGGAATGATCTTATACACTATTTGTTTAAATGAACAAGACTTTTGAATTGATTTCTGGTTACAATATAGTCCTTAGTCCTCTTTTACAGAATTGTATTATTCATATTCCGATTGGATTATACTTGCTCACTGATTATTATAACCCTCCAATGCATTTTTTTAAAATCATAGATATGCTTGTTGGACAATTTTCACTTAAATTATTAATAATGTGCTAATTCTGTTCTTCAGTGTAATTCTGTTTCTTATTTATTATTTATTCTTCTCATTATTATTATTACTTATTATTTCTTTACTATTTTTTTTTGCCTAAAAATTATAACTGTAAAATTATGCTGGTAATACTATTGTTTATTTATTAAAGTACTGATCACTGTCTGACTGATTGTTGATCTTAAATGAGTTTATTCAGTCTCAGTTTCAAATATTTCATGCAATTAATCTGTAGTAAAATTAAATTTATTAAGTATCTCTAAAAATAATAAATTTTATTTCAGGCCAACAAAATGCAAAGAGGTGGATCACAATACTTTCCTGGGGCTGATAACCCAAATAATCAAGCTCGTAATAATGGAATTCCTAACCCCCTCATAAATGTACGAGATAGACTTTTCCATGCATTGTTTATTAAAGGTGCTTTATCCTATGCCAGAACATTTCCAAAATCTGTGAGAAGATGCATTGAATTTACTATTTTATTGAAGGTTAGTATGTGTTCCCATATATTTTTTAACCTTCTGTCAGGCACAGTGTTGAATGTTAGACCATTGGATTAGAGATCTACAGATACCTATATAAATATTGGCCTTATGGGCCGATTGTCGGTATCAGCCGATATTAAACACCGACTTGCCTATGTATCGGCCTCTTTTTTTTTTTTTTGGCTCATCTCAGATTTTCAGCGGATACAGATATACTAAAGACTGAAATATCAACATTATGACCTTATTTTATTATGATTGGTAGAATTTGACTGACTATTGTTTATTTTTTTTGCTCATCCTCTCCTCAGATTTTCAGCAGATACGGATATCCTAAAGACCAATCGACCTTACGACCATATCGGCTTAAAATATTGGCCTTATGACCATATTTTAATGAAATTGGATTGATAGTGTTGGACCAATTTTTATTTAATTTCTTTTTTCTGGCCCTCCCTTTCTCCTAATTGGGGCAAATACCGATATTCCAAACAATTTCCAGTTTCCAAACACCGGCTACATCACCTTATTTTATCCAGATTAGTAGGGCTTCCTGTGGAATATTATTTATATTGCTAATAAATGTGTCAATCAGTCAACAACAAATCGACACAAACATAAATTTGAGAAGATACTGATATTCCAAAAACCTATTAATTGGCCTGATGACTTCTTTTTATCGAAATTAGAAGAGTTTTACCATTTTCTTTATTTTTTATTATTTTTATTTTGTCCATCCCTTCCCCTCATTTGAGAAGATAGCGATATTCTAAATACTGATTTATCGGCATCAAGACCTTATTTTAACAAGATTGGTAGAGTTTGATTATTTATTTATTATTAAGTTTTTTTTTGGTCCTCCACTTTCTCTAATTTGAGTAGATACCAAAATTCCGGGTCTATAACCTTAACCGATATATTCGGCCTTACGATTTTTTTATTACTTTCACTTACGTATATATGTAATATATAGTAAGGGTAAGTATTACGAGCATGAACATTTTTGAATCTGAGTTTTCAACGGAAATACACATTTTGGGGTACCCTGAATCCAAATAACCAAGTCCTGAAAAATTGTCTGTCTGTGTGTATGTGTGTATGTTAGCAGTCTAGTTCAAAAATGAAAAGTCGTACAAAACTGATATTACATATTTAAAATAAGTATATGCCTTAGATGTGACAGCAACTTTTTCCTTAAAATCGGCTAACCGGAAGTGCCACTTTATATCAAAGGTGAAACACAGTTTTACAATTTTCTCCGAAACGGCTCTAACGATTTTGATTAAACTCGGTGTATCATTATATAATTATGTGGTCTTTAATATCATTTAGGCCTTATCCCTGTTGATGTCACTTTACAGGGCTTAAATGCCCAATGTTTTTATGCATCTTCCTCTAAAGTACCTTTAATATGGTATATTTTAAATAATTAATTGTCTCTCATTATTAAGAGTTACAAAAAATGCTAAATATAACTTTTGAAAGAATTTGATAATTGAATAAAGGAGAAAAAAATAAAAAATGCTTATCCAGGTCGAAAATGATTCTCCGGAAATACTAGTCAGAAGGTATACATATAGTATATCGTTGGAAATCGGGGAATTTTAGAAAAAACAATATCTAATATTGAAAGTTGTAGAAGGTAACGGAGAGTGGCAAAAAAATTATAAATAATAATGTTTGAAAACTAATAATATTTAACGCAAATCACATGTTTTCAAGGAAATTAAATGAAATTTACTAACTAAATGTAAACTTTGAAAATATTTTTAAGTTTGAAAAACATATTTAAAATCCACCTAATCCAAGGCAATGACATTGGTTAAAAAACTATTTCATTGTACTTGTGTGAAAGAAGAAATAAAATATAAAATCATTTCATGGATGTATAAAGCATATTTTAATAACCTTAAATAAATTTGCTGTAGTTTAATAATTCTAGATCTGATATTATATTTAAATAATTAGGACATACCAAACTGAAACGACAAGAAACCGCTCGACGATTCCAATTACAAAAGACTCATATATATGACTATAATAAGGCCTATTTGGACTTACGGAGTTGAGCTATGGGGCTCCACTAAACCATCGAATTCATCTCGTATCCAATTCTTACGATCCAAAATCCTTCATAAAATCCTCAATGCTCCCTACTTTGTTACAAATAAAACCATCCATAATGACCTTAATGTTTCTTTTGTTTCAGATCTGGCCCAATCCAGATACCTATCCTTCCATAATAAACTTCAGAATCATCCCAACCCTCTCGTTTCTAACCTTGCTTCCTCTTCAATTCCTGATAACCCTCCAAGGTGTTTGAAAAGAAGATGGCCCCTTGATCTCCTAATGTAGACATATCATTAGAGTGCTACCATTGATTAGTTACTCAGCAAGTGTTTTCATGTTATTATATCCATATGTTCAAATTTACTAGATGTATTTATATAATAAAGTTGTAAATATCATTAAGAAATAATTTTAAAAAAATAATTAGGTATCAATATCCGTTTATTCCGAAATATTGTCATGTAACGTTTTGGATAATTAAATTAGTGAATAATTTGATGAATCTTACCTTTGTCATATTCCAACAGTATCCACTACTATTTCATTGTACTTCTTCTTCTTTATCTTCCTCTTCGTGCCATTACTAGCATCGAGGAGCCTTAATCCAATGCATCCATGCCTCTCTGTCCCTACTAAGCCGCCTCATTTCCTGGAGGGTTTTGCCTCTCTTCCCTCCAATCCGCTGCATATATTCCTGATAGGAAATTCTGGGGTGGCCCTTCGGCTTCCTCCCAGTGGGTCGAGCTTCCAGAATCTTCCGTGGATCTCTCTCCTCCTCCATCCGGCAAACGTGGCCAAACCACTTCAAATGTCGGTTTTCCAATAAAGTCCTTAGCTCCGCCACCTCCAGGTCCTCTTTTATGCGTTCATTTCTGAGGCGGTCTCTCCTGGTCTTTCCAGCAGCTCTCCGCAGAAACTTCATCTCGGCTGCTGTCACACGGCTAACCTGCTTGTCCAGCATAATCCAGCTTTCGCTTCCATACGTGAGGGTTGGGAGGTATACTGACTTGTATATGTGCCTTTTTGTTTCCTTGCCAACTTCCCTGTGCCCTACTATAGTGTTGCTGATAGAGTAATATACCTGATTGGCTTTGGATATCCTATTAGCTACTTCTGGGTCAATCTTCTCCTTGTTGCTGATAATTGTACCCAAATTGGTGAATTCTTGCACAAATTCAAGTACCTGCCCGTTACAGATCAGCTGGACGTCTTCTTGTTCCTCTCTGGATATGACTTGGACTTTGCTTTTGGAGCTATTGATAATCATACCTTTGCGGAGGAGTTCTTCCTGCCATTCTACAAGGGCCTGCTGCAGCTTATCTTTCGTGTCTACAATCAGAACGATGTCATCGGCATATAGTAGGCTTTGGACCATAATATTCCACAGGTTCCATTTTCCGACGACCGTCCAAGCAGTACGACGCTTACAAATTTTATGGATTTCATCCATAAATATGATGAACAAGAGGGGACTTAGGCTGTCTCCCTGCCTGATTCCTCTCTCCATGGGAAAAGGCTTGGACTCTCTACCATTAATCCTTACCATTCCTTTTCCTGCCTTATACGCTGATCTAATTGCCATGATAAGATCACCTGAAACATTTTTTGCCGCCAAAGCATCCCATATTTCTTGTCTTGGAAGAGAGTCAAATACTGCTTTGAGGTCAAGAAATGCCATATACATATTCTTGTCTCTGTCCCATGCTTTCTCTGCGATGCCTCTTAGCACGAAAATGTGATCTTGAGTCTGTCTCCCCGGACGAAAGCCTGCTTGTTTGTTCTCAATTTGATTCTCAACTACGAGCATTAATTTTCTTTCTAAGATTGAAGAGTATAATTTGTAAGCCACTGAAAGTAAGCTTATTGGCCTATAGTTATCACAATCTGTGGAGCTGCCCTTTTTATGAATAGGGACAATTACACTTAACTCCCAATCCCTTGGGACTATCTTTGTATCCCATACTTTTTGGAGGAATTGTTGGAGAAATTTAATTAATTCCTGTTCTCCAAATTTTATTAATTCGGGGGCTATGCCATCCCTTCCCGCTGCTTTACATATTTTAATTTTTTGGATGCCATATTCTATATCGTCTTCCTCAATGACTTCTAGACTTTCGAGAGTATTATTTTCTACCAGATGTTCTTCTGGATCAGTGTGTCCTCCTCCTGAGAAGTGTCCCTGATAGAACTCCTTCCACTGTTCAAGAATTTTCGTTTCTTTGGTGACCATATTGCCACGATAGTCTTTGACATTTCTCACTGGCTTACTTATTTTTCCTCTTAATAGCTTTACTTTACACCAGAACTTCTTAATACTTTCCCGGTGATCTTCATCGAGACTTTTTCCAAATCTTTCCCATGACTCTCTTTTCGCTTGCCGGACTGCTATTTTGCATTGATTTCTGGCTTAGTGGTATTCGTCTAGTTTTCCGGTTGTTTTATCTTTAAGATAAGCTTTCCCCACTTTCTTCTTTGATTGAACTAAACATCGTACTTCCTCATTCCACCACTCTGTGCGCTTTTGTTTATTAGATATTTTGCGCTAGCCACAAACTTCTCTTGCAGTTTCCAAGATGAATGATTTTAAGCAGCTCCACTGTTGTTCTACATCCTCCTCTCTGCTCATGGTTCTTAATTTTCCTTCCAGTTTTTCGGTATAGGAGGTTCTCTTTTCTGGATCATCTATAGCTCTTATGTTGACGGCCTGGTAGCTCTTTTGTTTAATTGTCCGTTTATGTGGAATTTTGGTATCGGCTATTAGCAGCAGATGATCGCTGCCAATTTCAGCACCTCTTATGACTTTTATATCGGAAAAATAGTTTCTTATGGCATGGTCGTATACGAAATAGTCTATAATACTGTTTCTTTCCAGGCTCGAGAAAGTTATTTTGTGTATTATCCTGTGGGGAAAGAAGGAATTTCCCACCAGTAAA